CTCTGATGCTGGAAGGGAGGAACGGGAGGGGAAGTACACTGATGCTGGAGGGAAGGAACGGAGGGGGAAGTACTCTGATGCTGGGGAAGGAACGGAGGGGAAGTACTCTGATGCTGGAAGGGAGGAACGGAGGGGGAAAATACCCTGATGCTGGAGGGAAGGAACGGAGGGGGAAGTACTCTGATGCTGGAAGGGAGGAACGGAGGGGGAAGTACTCTGATGCTGGAAGGAGGAACGGAGGGGGAAGTACTCTGATGCTGGAAGGGAGGAACGGAGGGGGAAGTACTCTGATGCTGGAAGGGAGGAACGGAGGGGGAAGTACTCTGATGCTGGAAGGAGGAACGGAGGGGGAAGTACTCTGATGCTGGAGGGAAGGAACGGAGGGGGAAGTACTCTGATGCTGGAAGGGAGGAACGGAGGGAGAAGTACTCTGATGCTGGAAGGGAGGAACGGAGGGGGAAGTACTCTGATGCTGGAGGGAAGGAAACGGAGGGGGAAGTACTCTGATGCTGGAGGGAAGGAACGGAGTGGGAAGTAACTCTGATGCTGGAAGGAAGGAACGGAGGGGGAAGTACTCTGATGCTGGAAGGGAGGAACGGAGGGGGAAGTACCTGATGCTGGAGGGAAGGAACGGAGGGGAAGTACTCTGATGCTGGAAGGGAGGAACGGAGGGGAAGTACTCTGATGCTGGAAGGGAGGAACGGAGGGGGAAGTACTCTGATGCTGGAGGGAAGGAACGGAGGGGGAAGTACTCAGATGCTGGAGGGAAAGAAACGGAGGGGGAAGTACTCTGATGCTGGAGGGAAGGAACGGAGGGGAAGTACTCTGATGCTGGAAGGGAGGAACGGAGGGGAAGTACTCTGATGCTGGAAGGGGAGGAACGGAGGGGGAAGTACTCTGATGCTGGAGGGAAGGAACGGAGGGGGAAGTACCTGATGTGGAGGGAAGGAACGGAGGGGGAAGTACTTTGATGCTGGAAGGGAGGAACGGATCGGGAAGTACCCTGATGCTGGAGGGAAGGAACTGAGGGGGAAGTACTCTGATGCTGGAGGGAAGGAACGGAGGGGGAAGTACCCTGATGGTGGAGGGAAGGAACGGAGGGGGAAGTACTCTGATGCTGGAAGGGAGGAACGGAGGGGAAGTACTCTGATGCTGGGAAGGGAGGAACGGAGGGGAAGTACTCTGATGCTGGAGGGAAGGAACGGAGGGGGAAGTACTCTGATGCTGGGAAGGGAGGAACGGAGGGGGAAGTACTCTGATGCTGGAAGGGAGGAACGGAGGGGGAAGTACCCTGATGCTGGAGGGAAGGAACGGAGGGGGAAGTACTCTGATTGCTGGAAGGGGAGGAACGGAGGGGGAAGTACTCTGATGCTGGAAGGGGAGGAACGGAGGGGGAAGTACTCTGATGCTGGAGGGAAGGAACGGAGGGGGAAGTACTCTGATGCTGGAAGGGAGGAACGGAGGGGAAGTACTCTGATGCTGGAAGGGAGGAAACGAGGGAGAAGTAAATCTGATGCTGGAAGGGAGGGAACGGAGGGGGAAAGTACTCTGATGCTGGAGGGAAGGAACGGAGGGGGAAGTACTCTGATGCTGGAGGGAAGGAACGGAGTGGGGAAGTACTCTGATGCTGGAAGGAAGGAACGGAGGGGAAGTACTCTGATGCTGGAAGGAGGAACGGAGGGGGAAGTACCCTGATGCTGGAGGGGAAGGAACGGAGGGGGAAGTACTCTGATGCTGGAAGGGAGGAAAAGGAGGGGGAAGTACTCTGATGCTGGAAGGGAGGAACGGAGGGGGAAGTACTCTGATGCTGGAAGGGAGGAACGGAGGGGGAAGTACTCTGATGCTGGAAGGGAGGAACGGAGGGGGGAAGTACTCTGATGCTGGAAGGGAGGAACGGAGGGGCAAGTACTCTGATGCTGGAGGGAAGGAACGGAGGGGGAAGTACTCTGATGCTGGAAGGGAGGAACGGAGGGAGAAGTACTCTGATGCTGGAAGGGAGGAACGGAGGGGGAAGTACTCTGATGCTGGAGGGAAGGAACGGAGGGGGAAGTACTCTGATGCTGGAGGGAAGGAACGGAGTGGGAAGTACTCTGATGCTGGAAGGAAGGAACGGAGGGGGAAGTACTCTGATGCTGGAAGGGAGGAACGGAGGGGGAAGTACCCTGATGCTGGAGGGAAGGAACGGAGGGGGAAGTACTCTGATGCTGGAAGGGAGGAACGGAGGGGGAAGTACTCTGATGCTGGAAGGGAGGAACGGAGGGGGAAGTACTCTGATGCTGGAGGGAAGGAACGGAGGGGGAAGTACTCAGATGCTGGAGGGAAGAAACGGAGGGGGAAGTACTCTGATGCTGGAGGGAAGGAACGGAGGGGGAAGTACTCTGATGCTGGAAGGGAGGAACGGAGGGGGAAGTACTCTGATGCTGGAAGGGAGGAACGGAGGGGGAAGTACTCTGATGCTGGAGGGAAGGAACGGAGGGGGAAGTACTCTGATGCTGGAGGGAAGGAACGGAGGGGGAAGTACTTTGATGCTGGAAGGGAGGAACGGATCGGGAAGTACCCTGATGCTGGAGGGAAGGAACTGAGGGGGAAGTACTCTGATGCTGGAGGGAAGGAACGGAGGGGGAAGTAAACCTGATGCTGGAGGGAGGAACGGAGGGGAAGTACTTTGATTTCTGGAGGGAAGGAACGGCAGGGGAAGTACCCTGATGATGGAGGGAAATTTAAAGAAGGTGAAGTACTCTGATGCTGGAGGGGAGGAACATAAGGGGAAGTACTCTGATGCTGGAAGGGAGGAACGGAGGGAGAAGTACTCTGATGCTGGAAGGGAGGAACGGAGGGGGAAGTACTCTGATGCTGGAGGGAAGGAACGGAGGGGGAAGTACTCTGATGCTGGAGGGAAGGAACGGAGTGGGAAGTACTCTGATGCTGGAAGGAAGGAACGGAGGGGGAAGTACTCTGATGCTGGAAGGGAGGAACGGAGGGGAAGTACCCTGATGCTGGAGGGAAGGAAACGGAGGGGGGAAGTACTCTGATGCTGGAAGGAGGAACGGAGGGGGAAGTAACTCCCGATGACTGGAAGGGAGGAAACGGAGGGGGAAGTACTCTGATGCTGGAGGGGGGAAAGGAACGGAGGGGAAAGTACTCAGATGCTGGAGGGAAGAAACGGAGGGGGAAGTACTCTGATGCTGGAGGGAAGGAACGGAGGGGGAAGTACTCTGATGCTGGAAGGGAGGAACGGAGGGGGAAGTACTCTGATGCTGGAAGGGAGGAACGGAGGGGGAAGTACTCTGATGCTGGAGGGAAGGAACGGAGGGGGAAGTACTCTGATGCTGGAGGGAAGGAACGGAGGGGGAAGTACTCTGATGCTGGAAGGGAGGAACGGATCGGGAAGTACCCTGATGCTGGAGGGAAGGAACTGAGGGGGAAGTACCCTGAAGCTGGAGGGGAGGAACGGAGGGGGAAGTACTTTGATGCTGGAGGGAAGGAACGGCAGGGGAAGTACCCTGATGATGGAGGGGATTAACGAAGGGTGAAGTACTCTGATGCTGGAGGGGAGGAACATAAGGGGAAGTACTCTGATGCTGGAGGGGAGGAACGGAGAGGGAGTACTATGATGCTGGAGGGAAGGAACGGAGAGGGAAGTATGTACTCTGATGCTGGAGGGAAGGAACGGAGGGGGAAGTACTCTGATGCTGGAGGGAAGGAACGGAGAGGGAAGTACTCTGATGCTGGAGGGGAGGAACGTAAGGGGAAGTACTCTGACGCTGGAGGGGAGGAACGTAAGGGGAAGTACTCTGATGCTGGAAGGGAGAAACGGAGATTGAGTACTATGATGCTGGAGGGAAGGAACGGAGAGGGAAGTATGTACTCTGATGCTGGAGGGAAGGAACGGAGAGGGAAGTACTCTGATGCTGGAGGGAAGGAACGGAGGGGGAAGTACTCTGATGCTCGAGGGAAGGAACGGAGGGGGAAGTACTCTGATGCTGGATTGAAGGAGCGGAGGGGGAAGTACTCTGATGCTGGAGGGAAGGAACGGAGGGGGAAGTACTCTGATGCTGGAGGGAAGGAACGGAGGGGGAAGCACTCTGATGCTGGAGGGAAGGAACGGAGGGGGAAGCATTCTGATGCTGGAGGGAAGGAACGGAGAGGGAAGTACTCTGATGCTGGAGGGAAGGAACGGAGGGGGAAGCACTCTGATGCTGGAGGGAAGGAACGGAGAGGGAAGTACTCTGATGCTGGAGGGAAGGAACGGAGGGGGAAGTATACTGATGCTGGAGGTTGTGGTGTAAACACTGTGGGTTGAACGCTTCACCACGAAAAAATAAGTGTTGAGAATGCTTCTATATTATACATGTTCACTGAATTTGCATGAATACTCAGCTGGAACTTTTAGATTTTCAACTCTCTTAATTTGGGATTTTCTTAAAAGCCAAATACTACGGCATTTTAGAAATGTTTGTAAAATTCACATCTCTTAGGCAATAATTATCACAAAATCTGCTCCAGTTATTTATTTTCAAGAATCTTCAAGACTATTATCATTTTGGTTACTGTAAAAAAAAGTGTAATGATTAATTTAGGTTATACGAGTGTGAACGGTGGTGAATGTTGCTCCTCAGTTCTCATGAGAACACAGATGGTGTTCAGTGGCCGTGGTCCACTGTTACAATTATTACAATCATAATTAAGCACTAAACCCACCAGGGCGTGGTTTGCTAGCTGCCATGCATATCTTGAGTCCAAACTTTTCCATTCGATATTTTACAGTCCAGCCGATGTTAACATTTTTGTTTTAAGGTAAAATATAAATTGATTTTTCATTCCTAAAGAAGTGAACATTTACTCAGTTGTAGATGTTTTCAAATATAAATAACCCTTGAGAGTTTAGCGCTTAGTTCTGATTATAACAATTCAAATATAAATAAGTCTTTTCTTACTTAATTAAAGGCATATCTAATGTCCGGTAAAATGTTTTGAAATTAACCCAATAAAAACTCAACGAAATTTGTTTTTTATTTTTATCGTTCATAAATCCTGCATAATTTATTAATCCCCTAAAGAGAGACTCAATACCACTATATAGTCTTCCAGATCCAACAGACTGAACTTATTCTTTCCTTCCTCTAATCGAGACCTAAATCTCTTAATTCCCAGTCCCTGTATGAACCTACGGGCTGAGTGCTTCCAGTAATTAAATTGCATCGTGTATCAAAGGCATTCTCATGTTAAGTGTTGTATATGTTTTTCTGAATTGCGATCACTGATAATAAAGTCGAAAAAAGTGCCCGTGAAACCAATTGAGAGTCTGGCTGAACTAATGTGTGTCCAACATGAGTTCGAATCTAAGTCTTGCTGCTCATTACCGTTGTAGTAGACACCTCCTGGTGCCCTAAACGTTGTCATCCAGGTGCTGCTACATCTCCCTCACACCGTCACTCAGGTGCTGCTACATCTCCCTCACACCGTCACTCAGGTGCTGCTACATCTCCCTCACACCGTCACCCAGGTGCAAGATAACGTGCTTTACACTTCGACGTTAATCATTTTTTTTTTTTGCACATCTAAGTGAATTCTAGTCCGCATTGCTAAACCATTTTTGTACCACTAATTCTGAAACTCACGCGACTCTACGTCCATCCTTGAAGGAATGGGTCTTCATACAGGTGAAGGGCTTTGTATTCAATTAATTAAAGCTACCCTCCTTTTTTTTGGGTCAAATTGTTACCTCTAATTCCCATACTGGTTTAGTTGTTCCACTTGAACATAATAATCTATCTACGTGCAGTGAAATTACCATCAATTACCATCAACTTCTTATCTGCTCATCAGTCAGTAGGTCTTCTCGAGGTGTTTGTTGATCCAGTCGAGGTAGTCTGTGACCCTGATGTAGACACCTGGGTATGACGGCTCGGCACACCCGACACCCCAGGAAGTGATGCCAGCCTGTACCCATGGTCCTCCGCTCGTTCTGCACTGTAGGGGTCCTCCGCTGTCACCCTGCAGTGATACACAGTGCTGTAACAGTTACAGAAGTACTATTATTGTTATCATTCTCGCCTCCGCACCATCACCACCATGCCCACCACCACCAAGGTATGACATACGACGTAGGACACTCACCACACAGGGTCCCATGCCACCATCCTCCCAGCCAGCACAAATCATGCTGCTACTCACTGGGCTGACTTTCCTGTATGCTCGTTGGCACTTCTTATCAGGCATGACTGGCACCCGGATTGTCTGCAGCAAGTCTGAGTTACTTCCATCTAGGCACAGGATAAGTAGTAATCAAAATAAGTAGAGCGATAAGCTCTTGATACTTTCGTAAAAAAAATATAGTAATAAAATAAGTCATTAATCTAAATACTGTACTTTATTTTAAATACAAAAGCGAACCTTTAATATGAACTATGAGTTCTTAACTGACAATTTGCTAAATCATTATTAATTTTCATGGTACAGTGCTAGACTCTTAGGGGCAAATCAGAGCCTGGAGAATGAGAGGTAATCAGGTTTCATCCAGGGAAGTAGAGGACAGCGCCAATTCTTTGAATCAATGCTCTCACATAATTTCTCCTTCATATGCAATACTGCATGTTTCTTCTTAATTTTTTTCCCTTCACCATGATGCTTATATATTTGTTGTACCTTCCTTTTTTCTTTGATACATTTTTGTTGATACTTACGCTTCTTAGTCCTTCCCCAGCCGGTAACAGAGCACTGGAGGCCCAGGAACGACATATTTCTGGAAGGTAAACAGATAGTGTTGACTAGTCCAGCATGTTCTTCGAGGTCCAAGGGCTTCCTCAGCTGTACTAAAGCGATGTCGTTATTCCATGTCTTGGCGTCAAAATGCTGGAAAGAAAAGGGCTGAATAAGTGATAGTTAAGAAAGAATGATATGTGAATAAATAATTATGAGTAATTTAAGTAAACCAAACCACGGTGCGAGCGAGGATTGAACTCGCAGAGAGTGGATCTTATTAAAACTCCAAACCGACGCGTTATCCACTGGGGCAGCTGGCTACAATAAGATTAATCCAACTAGGTATATTTATACACCATAGGAAGGTTGGTATAGGCAACACTGTGACCACAAATGTAAGTTTTTACAGATGAATCTCTCGCCAGCGTTGCCATGACAAACTCTAGCTCTAGTCCCCTCAAAGTTTCCCAGGCGTGTAATAACTTACCATTCCTTGCACTGAACAGCCCACGTGGGTTCAACGCTGTTTGAGACACAGTACAAGTGATTTATGGAGTATGTCCTCAACCTCTGTCATTCATCTTTACCTTGTGTGTAATAATCTTGGAGACAGGGTAGAGTCTTGCAGTCTCCACCGAGAGGCTGATCTCTCCCACACGAACTGTCCAAAAAGGTGGAGGCAGCGCAAACTTGAAGATCGGGCTGAAAGGAACGAGGGAATATATATCTATCTCTTTCTTGGGGACTGAAATAAAAGGAAGAAAAGAAGTCACAATGAAAAGCAGAAAAGCTTTTTGTGCCTTTAGGTATGGGCTAATACTTTCATGTTTTTTTGTATGAGAATGGGTGGAGAAAATATGAGATGTTGAAGAGAACAATAAACAGAGGTTCTAAGGAGGATTTAAAAGCTGAAGATTGTTCTTTCAAGGAATTTGCTAATGTAACTGAAAAACTTCTTTTACACAAATACAAATCGGTGAGAAAACCCACTAAACTCATTCAGTCAATACATGACTTTCTTCAACACACTCCACACCATAACTATTGCTCTGACTCACTCGACGATGCAGTGAGCTGCAGTGAGGATCCAGGAAGGGTGGATGAGGGTGCCACCACAGTGCTGACCCAGTCGTCTGCCACTGTATGGGTCCTTTTGCTGCAGTGCCACGTGCCAGGGCCACTCCCCTGCCAACACACTTCTCCCACCCACTATTCTCATGTAGTAGCGATGAGTATGGGCTGACTCCCCACAGTCTGCAGGAAGGCTTAAGACCAGTTAGTTGATAGCTTTATTTCCACCTCATATTTCCACCTCATACCCATCCTACGTCAGGAGCCGCCTCATACCTTTTCTATGAGGGTATGATGGGGAAGTCAAAAAAATTACAAAAGAGTATAGCGAGTCTAGGTATAAATTCCAGTGCTGTTCATATAATAATTTTTATTACAAATAACACACAACAGAAATATAAATTAATATTTAAATAACTGAAGGGAAATGCCAGAAATTATTGCTAGGTGTCGTACTAAAATTACCAGATAGTTTATTATCATGACTTTTCAAGAGCTGTGATGAGAAACGCAGTTATCGTCACTGGGATTGATGTATAATTGGTTAAATTTGGTTATCAAGCATTAATCTAGTCTAAAAAAAAAATGCATGTAGGAGAAATTGGCTTAAGTGTACATAACGACGATCCGGTTTAGTTTTACGACAGCTTTTAAGAAAAAAAAAAAAATTCGACATGTCGCCATGTTTGTTTATTCTGACGTCACGAGTTCAAACACTGTGTTTACCATTGTTGTTTTAATATTTTCTTCTGTCACGGCCAGATTTGTTCTTATTTACATTTCTCTCACCGCTTCAACCACCATTTGCAACATCGCCTCCAATCACTACCCTAACCTGCCATACCTCAACCACTACCCAAATCACTATTTCAACCATCATATTTCAACCAAGACCAAAATCACCACATTTCAACCACTATACCTCAACCACCACCCCAATCAAAATATCTCAACTACTATACCTCAACTACCCCTGCCCACCACCCCAACCAACACGCAACCACTGCCAACAACCAACACGCCGCCACCACCAACAACCACCCTGAATCAAGCACACAACTGTATTTAATTATTAACACAGTTCTTAAGATGCTCTTGATGAGCCAATTAGGCGAATCATCCCGTGATAAAGACCCTCGTCACGTAATTTTCTCTGATAAATTAGCAATATTAACCTCTATCTCTGCCCTAAATACTCTCTCTAACCCTCCCCTCCTCTTCCTCCTCCTCTTCCATCCCAACCACTATCACTACTTACCATAACAACCACTATCACGATCACCCTCACTACAAATACCACGTCAATAAGGTCTAGGGGGATCTACGCCCCCTCCCATTGCGTTGAGTGAAGCGAGTTAGGGATAATTTTTTTTATTTGGCTAAATTGGATATATCAACTTGAGCTGGTAGACTTCTTTATATTTTTTTATCAACACATCGGCTGTTTCCCACCGACACAGAGTGACCTGAAAAAAGAAGAAACACTTTTCATCATCACTCACTCCATCACTGTCTTGCCAGAGGTGTGCCAACACCAAAGTTCAAAAGCCGCAACATATCTCCATCCTTCCTTCAAAGCGCAAGCTCTGTACTTCGTACTTCCAGGACTCAAGTCCGGCTAACCGTGGTTGATATCATCAAGTATTCCGCTATGGTTCATTAGTTACGGGAACTTCAAAAGTATCCTCCAGCAGAACTGGAATTACTATTGGAAATCTTTGTCTCCCAGGATGCCTTATCCCATACACAGGATAAACGGATTTTCTTAATATCATATCAATAGGAGAGAAAGGAAAAACAGAGGGAGGAAAAAAATCCACCACATTATCCGAGAATATATCCTTACAGAAACAATGCAGATTCATTGTTATAATGGCCTTTCGACATGTTAAAGTTTTTTTTTTTATGTGACCACGAACACATACACTAGTCTCGCGACACCAGCCTTATCCTTGAGTAAAAGTTCCACTTGCGCTCAGTAACACTCAATGTAGGCAGACCCAATATAAGTTTGGCTGGGCTAACCTGCTTTGCATCACATTTTAATTTATTAGAGAAGTCAGGTCGTTAGGCTAGCTTGGTAAAAAAGAAAAACTGAGCACCATGATAATTCACATAGCTGCATGCAAAGCACGACAGTCCAAATTTTGTTTTTTATTTAGCAAAATTGGATATATCAACAGTATGCTAATACAGACGTGAAGGGGAGAGAGGAAGTGATGGAGGAGAGTGAAGGACTGATGGAGGATAGGGAGAGATGGAGAGGAGTGAGGGATGGGTGGAGAGGAGTGAGGGATTGGAGGAGAGGAGTGAGGGATGGGTGGAGAGTGAGGGATGGGTGGAGAGTGAGGGATGGGTGGAGAGTGAGGGATGGGTGGAGTGAGAGATGGGTGGAGGTGAGATGGGTGGAGTGAAGGATGGGTGGAGTGGAGTGAGGGATGGGTGGAGTGGAGTGAGGGATGGGTGGAGTGGAGTGAGGGATGGGTGGAGTGAGGGATGGGTGGAGAGGAGTGAGGGATGGGTGGAGAGGAGTGAGGGATGGGTGGAGAGGAGTGAGGGATGGATGGAGAGGAGTGAGGGATGGGTGGAGAGGAGTGAGGGATGGATGGAGAGGAGTGAGGGATGGATGGAGAGGAGTGAGGGATGGGTGGAGAGGAGTGATGGTGAGAAAAATAAGTCTTTACTGAAACATGTGGTGTGTCAAACACGTGTCCACGAAGGTCAAGGAGGATGAAAAGCTTGGATGGTATGTCTCATTCGATCAAAATACCATTTTGTCTGAAATATAGTCCCTTATCAAAGCAGCCACCAGCAAGCGAGCTGAAAAATTCTTATCACTCTGAACCCCCAGCAAGCAGCAGAACAACGTGTGGAACTGTTCACTTTCAGAAGAAATCCGGACAACTTTCTCGGGACATGCTAAATTTACTGACGACCTTGACTAGTACTACTCTGAATTATAGCCACCACTTCCAGGGAACCAGGATTAAAAAAATCGGTTAAGAAATCAAAGGCACTGATGATTAGTGAACGGAACCCAGAAATTATAATTCGCAAGCATAACGTCGAACTAGAATGGATTGTCTTCTATGATATTCTGGTTCTTTTAGCAACATACGGCTCAAGTTTCATAGAAGAAATGATACACGTTGGTACTCATTATGAAATGTAAGATCGTGTATTTCCTGTATGAAGTTCGCTTCTCATTGTCTACAGTGCGCCAGCAATAATTCACATATCCCTCTCAAACAATGAGCGAATAGAGGTAATACAATATCAAGCGATGCGAAATATGCCTGGAGCGCTCTAGTTGCGGCAATAAATCTGTCTCAGGTTAGTTCAGCTCCCTTTTCTCAGAAGCAGAGTTGAATATGTATACATGTATATATGCCTGTATAGTGGGGGAATCCTCCATTGAAGAGAGACTCGCAAAGAAAATAGTCGTTCTCGGTCAAGTGAGATGTGTTGTCAGTCAAAAGAACAAGACGGAGAACCATCGTCGGTGTAAGGAAAAATTACAACCTTCACGAAAACTAATGGAAAAGGAAACTGACTTGCAGGAAGAGGAGTACATTCCACGAGCATGGTATCCAGAGAGAGCTGCGTCTCCTATGAGCAAATATCTAACGCAGCACAGACACCTTGCTACGCCAGTGTGACTTTATAAATGGTCCAAGCCGGACCGAAACGTCGTCATAAGCTCCTCTCTCTCTCTTATGTACGGGTTATCTGTGTACTGTTTCAGTAACGGTATTGTGTGTTTTCTTTACTACGCCATGCAAAATAAAACATCGCCCGACCCGAATGCCCCAAAAATACTATATGTAGAGTACTTCACTGTTGGTTCAGTGATTCCGGATAAAATGCAGCAGCAACTGAAATCCATCACCAAGGATTATCCAGGGGATTAAAACTTCCTGACTGCTGCTCATTGAAAACAAAATTTAATGGTTACAATCATAGCCAGAATTTTTAAAGGGGTGGACCGGTAAGCCAGCGGAAGGCCTCTGTCATATGACCAAAAGCTCCAGCTGCGGGTCATTACATGACAAAGACCCACGTCAGGAAATACTTGTCCTGTTTCCTTGACAAACCTTACCTAACCTACTCAGTCATACAACCTGAGTTACTGACGCTCCAGCAAACAACAAAATAAACAGCACGTTATTCTTCACGCAGAGTCCATAGTTGATCTTCAGTCACTCCAGCACTACCCTACGACAAATTAAAACTTATCACATACATCTTGAGCCTCTCATAGGCCCCTCGACGTATAGGACAATAAAAGCAACACTGAAGTGGATGCCATAATGGGTTGGCATCCGTGGGAACGAGGCTGCAGATGAAGCAGTCAAAATAGCGACTTAGGATGAACATGTTCTTGTCACCATATCTGTCGTGGAATAAAACGCTGTCAGAAACAGGAGAGCATCGGCCACACATCAAGGTCAGAGCTGTGTTATACATTGACTTCACAGTGACAGCCCTCCACCTGACAACAGATATCAGCACCGAGTTATCATGTTCGCATAACCATCATATTCACACACCTGTCATTCGCACAGCTGTCGTATTCACACTGCTGCCATATTCGCACAACTGTCATATTCACACTGCTGTCATATTCGCACAGCTGTCATATTCGCACAGCTGTCATATTCGCACAGCTGTCATTTTCGCACAGCTGTCATTTTCGCACAGCTGTCATTTTCGCACAGCTGTCATTTTCGCACAGCTGTCATTTTCGCACAGCTGTCATTTTCGCACAGCTATCATATTCGCACTGCTATCATATTCGCACTGCTGTCATATTCGCACTGCTGTCATATTCGCACTGCTGTCATATTCGCACTGCTGTCATATTCGCACTGCTGTAATATTCGCACTGCTGTCATATTCACGCAACTATCCATATACTGCGCCTTGGCTTCCCTACTATAGAGAAAATAACTGAGAACGTAGCAAAAGTTGAAGAATTGATACACTTACGCAGCATATGGGAATCTAAGATTCCCATACGTTGCACAAGTGTCTCAATTCGACAACTTGTCGGTTTCCAAAACCATTCATCACACGTAGAAAAAGTACAATGTCAGAACGGTCACCATGCTACAACACAGGTATTAGTGCACTACCTGCTAGACTGCCAAGGGGCACTACCACTGCCACGTCTTCTGCTGCTC